GATCGAACAACGGACAGTAGTGCCATCTTCAGGGGGTCTATTTATGCAGAAGATGCGTCATAAAATCAATTAATATCTAAGAAATTGGAATTTTTTGATTGGAACTTTGAAGTTATACACCGAAGCCGGGTTACAAAAGCTCTGGCAGCGAGAGGTTAATGTCAGGTCAGCAAAGCTTTTCCCCTGTGAAACTAATAACAGATCTAATCAAACAGCAGCACAGAGACATGTTCTCATATTAGAGACAGGCTGCGCTCTCCCATACCGAGCCTAATGAGTCTATACACCCCCTGGACAGGGACGCCCATGGTTATGACAGTCTAAAACGCAGGCAGACTCTCTAAATTCACTTTCCGTTATTGATTGGGCTACCCGCAGACATGGAACCGTGCGCTTAAAGAGACCCTGTCATGCTGAGCCTGATGAAGGGGACCCCGGCGTGGCCCCATAATGTCGTTATCAATATGACAATACGCGTCAATAAAAGACGCTCCATCTACCAGCTCTTCCGGTATGCTGGTGACATTTTGCTACTTCATAGATTCCAGCGGTGCCATACGCAGTCATTTCAACAACCGTTTACAAAGGGTTTTGACTGCGATGGGATACCCATTGGATCTTAAAGAGACCCTGTCACCAGACCATTCATTTCACCAAAAATCTCTCTTAGGCCCGGTTCACACCTGAGCGTTTAACCGCGCGTTCCTACGCTCGGTAAAACGCGCAACAGGTGAAAACCCATGTTTGCCTATGGGCATGGTTCTCACCTGCGCATTTGACCGCGCGGTAAAACGCCATACGCCCAAAGAAATACAGGAGCTTCTTTGGGGCGTATTAACGCGCGTATCCCGCTGTATCCATCAGGATACAGCCGGATACCCCCTCGGAAACTCGTGTTTGCCGCGTTTCTTTTACCGCAAATTGCGGTAAAACCGCGCGGCAAACGCGAGTTTCCAATACGCTAAGGTGTTAACCTGCACATACACCTTGCAATCATCGGATGATACTTTTCGTCCGATGATCGAACCGTCGTACGATTTTCGTACGGCGAACCCATCCTGCCCCGATTAGCGCATGGTTGGATCAGCAGTAATTAAAAGAAAAGCACGTTGAAGAATTGCGGTTATCGACCGCCCGTATTTTCGTCTGCGCATGTGCAGTGTAGATCGTACGAATTTTGACGTACGGAAACGCCACCAACCTTGCGAGAAACGTAGAAGTTTTCTAACATGCTGGTTAGTCAAAAGTCGATCGATTGTACAGCATTTGCGTTTGTACAGTGCCCATCAACCTTACGAATATCGAAAGAAAACGCGATCGCATACGAAAATCGGCCGATATTCGTAAGGTGTATGGGCAGCTTTAGATGTCGCAGCTATGGGAAATGCATAGCATATAAAACATGAAGCAAGAAGAGGTTAAAGAACTCAATGACATCTTCTTTCCAAAGTCATGTCAGCAGAGGAGTGTGCAGACTAAGTTTGGCGAGGAGATAAATAGTATATTCCCTGGTGTGGGCTGTATCAGTGTCGGAGCTGGATCCCGAATCTCACTGTAAGCATTTAAGGAGCCTGATTAACATCCTCCCTAATCAAGAAGAGCTGCAAAGTATCGTTCCTCCTCTGTCACTACATGAAACCTCTGGGCTACAGTCAAAGGATTATCAGTCACTCTTGTGTCCTTTTAAGCCCAAATGAACTTTTGGTTTAAATCAGCTAAATACATTCCAGGTGCATCCATAAAAAAGGTGTGCAAAGTCTTTATAGTTTGTTTCTTTCTCTGCAGAGAAGGACCCTTGCTCTCGGTGCCCAAGCAGTGGTCTTTCTGCAAAGGTCCAACACGCCCCCCTGCAGAGTCAGACCTATAGCTGAATGGAGAGCTCTAGCTATGAATCAGCAATTGGCGTGCTAGACTTCTGTAGAGATATTACTGTTTAAACACAGAGGGTAAGAGACTTTGCAGTATGCTGGCAGGGAACATGCTCACCTAGTCAAGCTGTGGCTGCTTTCTAAAGCCTGCAGGAATTTGCATGTATTTAGCCTAAACTGAATATTCAGTTGGGCTTTTAAGAGCTTCAAATAGATGTAAAAACTACTTTAAGTCCATTGACATGCCAAGAAAAAACAGCAACCATTATAGGCTTTTTGAGACCCGCTTAGTACTATAGGGATCGAAGGAAAAGGTGGTTGAATTGGTCAGCACAGAACTGTCTATGCCTGACCTCTGGGATCTTAAGGCTACTCTGAGGCAAAAAGGAGACACAATCCCACCAATGTTTTGTCCCGTGGCCTGCTCCTATTTGGATAGTCCATGGTCCCATCGCGCTCCTGACCGCGTAAATCCCTTCAAGAATTGGGTGCTGCGGTAGTCAACGTGTGGCAGCTGTAACAATCGTGAGCTAAAGCAGAGACACCGGCACTCCAAATTTGCAAAATACGTCTATTTATTGACGTGCATTGTGGTAGAAAACAACAAACGTTTCGGGGTCACAAAGGATCCCCTTCATCAGGTAAAACAACAGAACATGTTTTACCCGATAAAGGGGAATCTTTGTGCCCCCGAAACGTTCGTTTTTTACCACGATGCACATCAATAAATAGACCTATTTTGCAAATTTGGAGTGCCGGTGTCTCTGCTTCAGCTCTGCTCCTATTTGGAGGTGCGTAGTAAGCTTCTCAGGATGCCATATGATGCAAGAAACCACCTTAGCCATAAACCTCTAGACTTAAGGAGTGGAAACACTACTCCAAGGCTCCCAAGACTTGGCTTTGCAATCAGCTGCTGAAGTCTGCTCTTGATTAGTGATGGTCTCGGGCGTGTTCGCAGCTCCATGTGCCGAGCCCGCCAGGAAGCTGACAGCGCCAATCACTGGTACTGCGACATTTCCCGATCTCTGCAGCTGCGGACCAGGAAAATGTCTCAGTACCTGTGATTGGGGCTGCGCGCTGTCAGCTTCCTGGCGGGCTTGGCACATGGAGCTGCGAACACGCCCGAGACCATCACTACTCTTGATGCAGTGATTAAATTATTGATTACATTTCTTTATATAGTGCTGACTATTTATGCAGCACTTTTACATAGTGCACATTTACACCAGTCTCTGCCCTCAAGGAGCTTACGAGTTCCTATTTTCACATGCATACATAAACACACACAGGGCCAATTCAGACATGAGACATGTTGTTTCTTTGAAGCCTGGGAGGAAACCGTAGTACCTGGAGGAAACCCACACAAGCACAGGAAGAACATGCAAAGCCCATTCAAACCCTGAAACACGTTTTATAATGAAAAACACATAGTTCCTATTCTTTAAACGTTCATCCTAATTTTTCCCCCATACCTCTTGAATGCCACCAGAAACATCCCCTAGAGACGTCCTTGTGTCCATGAGCAGCTGACAAAAGTCTTCATTTCTCTGAACTCTGTCACAGAAGCCCAAATCCAAATTGTTTTCTATCCTGGCAAAGTGCATTAGAGTTAAATGTTCTAACCCTTCCCCACTCTATAGAAATGTTAAAAAAAAAAAAGCTGTAAAAATAGATGGGCTTGAAGTTCTTTTGTTATTCTTATAATTACTTTTTACATTATGAGAGAACGGTCAAAATATTTAGCCTGGCACACCCAGAGTGACATCATTTATGTAATACAAAACCCATTGATAGTTAAAGCGGACCTTGTAGCAAAATGGAATTTTGCTTTGCTTTATAAATCACCTACTGTTAAAGGAGAACAATGGGGTTAAGGCTTTTCCCCATAATCTCCTTAGGGTAACGGGAGGACACAAACTAGCGTCCTCCCGTCACCCTAGGCTCAGTATACCGCGAGCGACATCGATGTCTGGATCCGCCAAGCTGCGTGAGTGACAGCTGGCTCTGCCTATCTAGAGGCAGAGCCAGCTGTACCCGCCCCCCCCCCCGTCCGTTCCGCCAGTCAGCGCTGGCCGATCGGAGCGGGGAGAGGGGAATCCAGCCCCTCCCCTGTCACGGCAGAGAGACGCGACAGGATCAAGAGGTGAGCGAACCCGGTATGTGTTCGCTCACCTCCCGATCTACTGAGCCGACGGGCAGTCGGCTAGAACTATGAGGTGAGTGAAAAGCACTCACCTCATAGTTCTCCTTTAATATATGTCAAATATTTAAAAAATTGCCATTATTCTCACTTTAATTGACCCCCCATCTTCCTCATCGCTGGGCGCCACGTCAACATCCTTCCGGTAAGATTATTGGGGAATGCAGAGCAGCCGAAATCTCACCAGAAGACATGCAGCAGAAGTCTGGTGCAAAGCAAGAGAATCTTCTTCAGCTGCAATTAGAGGTGCACCGAAATGGAATTTTTAAAACCGAAACGAAACCGAAATAAAAAAAAAATGTCAGGCCGAAACCGAAAATGTTTTTTATTTTTATTTTTTCAATTCCGTGACAGGGGAGGGGCTGGATTCCCCCCTCCCCGCTCCGATAGCGCTGACTGGCGGAACGGACGGGGGAGGGTACAGCTGGCTCTGCCTTTAGATAGGCAGAGCCAGCTGTCAGTCACGCAGCTGGGCGGATCCCGGCACAATTGTCGGGATCCGCTTCAGCGTTTCAGTATACCGCGAGCAGCAGCTCGCTGTATACTGAGCTTAGGGTGACAGGAGGACGCTAGTTTGTGTCCTCCAGTTACCCTAAGGAGAACTATGGGGAAAAGACTTAACCCCATAGTTCTCCTTTAAGTAAATTTTAAACCAGTATTCCCCCTTCCAACATCTCCCTATTGGCTGATAACTACAATGGGTACCCTGGTGGGCCAATTGGGAGGCAAGAAGGGCAAAGCTCTCTACCACAGGTAGAATACCCAGAGATATAAGATTCCAGGCCCCATACAAAATAATGTACTTTTTCGGGGCCACAGGAGAAGAATGATTATTTTGAAACGACAAGTCAGCTGCTGAGCTCTTTTCTTTACGGTAAGGTGCTCACTGACACAAAAAGCTTGTGAACTAAAAAAAAATTGTGCGTACTTACGTTTTTTCCTGTGGTCAACTAAACTCATGGCTTGTTTGGCTGAACATTTGGCAAACCAGTTGTCCCCGAGCAAGACAGTGACCTCATTGGTTTGGACGAGTCGACCTGGCATAAATGCTAGTGGGCCGAAGGGTACCTGAAAGGAAGAAAAATATCAGTAAAGCTCGAGGCTCGAAAAAAGGGGGTGCAGCTGAGAACAGAAAAGCTGGATTGAGTAACCATTTCATATAAAACCTAACTCTCGAGGCAGAAGCTTGTATTAAAAGATATGCACCAATAGCCACAAGGGGGGGGGGAAAAAAACCCTTGCAAGCCCGGATATTACCTTCTGCTACTAATGGTGACATCATCATTGGACTGCACATAGTGTACACAGAGCTGTGTGTGGGGCCCAGAGAATCCTCTCATTACCGACTGCCTGCAGATTACAGGGCAGCGTCTTGGCTCCTCCTATGTCACTATAGGGCTTGGGCTGGCAGGAGGAACTAAGGCACCCATCTGGGGACACTATGCCACACACCCGAAAGTATCATCAGCACTGTCATGTGTACTGCTCAATTAAAGTCAATGGGATCTTGCAGACCTGCATTTGATGTACAAGTAGGAACTATGGCACCCATGTGGGCTCACCATGCAGCACACCCGAAGTATCAGCAGCACTGTCATGTGTACTGCGTGTAATAGGTCAATGGGATTTTGCTGACATGCATGCACAAACCAAACGCACATCCAACATAGAAAATAACACCCATGGACACAAGCCCTTAAGACGTCAGGGCCGAGCCAGAGGGAATGGAACAATACCTACCATCATGTCATAGGACAGCTTATCGGGCAAAGACCCAAGCCTCTCCTGAAGAGCGTCATAGTCGCTTTCTACCTTCTTCCTGGAGGAAACAGACAGTTCAATTAAATACAGAAATGTCACAAAGTAGCTATTTAGAAATAAAGGAGGGAAAATAATGAGCAAATAACAATGGTTTATGCTTCCCATGCTCTGCAAGAGTTAGGTGCTCGTTTTAGTCTAGAGGCTGGACTAGAGCAAAATGACTTACCTGATCCCAGCTTGCTCTAAGATGTTAGACTGGTTCTCGCAGCCTCTTCTCGCATGGGCTCCGATGATGTAAGGACCGTTGACGTCTTCAAGTCTTATGCAGGTCCATTGACTTGCATTAGACATGGGGACACCAGCGGACAATCCGCACCAGGAGTGGAGTGGGAGAGAGGTGAGCCCTGACTGCTGTAGGAGTCAGGATCAGGTAAGTACAGCAGCTTTGAGTCACACAGACAAAACTAGCACAGCAGGGGAAAGTTTTTTGTATTTGCCCCAAGTTCTTCTTCAAAGGAATAGTTCACCGTTCCACTCACATGACCCCGGTCTTCAAGCGCCCCTGCTAACATAACATCTGATATTCAGGCTTGTTGACTGCATGTTGTCAATGGCGTACCAAGAGGCCTTGCTTGGCCTCTCCAAAGCATATCCGAAAAACTCCTAGCCTGATGGACTCTCCCCATCCGAGATGGCAGGACAGGACATCCATTGGAAGGGAGCCCCGCTAAGCTCAGTATTGTGCAACAACAGCAACAAAGGTGCTAGGAAGTAAAAGATGGTTAGGAACCAAAGTGCGAGAGCTTGGCGCCCAGGGGGAGGGTTGGGGGCCATGCTTCCAACAGTCAGCCTATACTGGGAAATTAGGGTGATCAGGGTAACTAGAAGGTCAACTGTTCACTTCTACAATGCTTCAAACTGGGGCTAACCCCCAACATGCCTTTGCCCAAGGGTCAGCTGGGTGTCCAGTGAGTCTGAACTTCTGTAGGTGATGTTAGAAGATCAGTGGACTTCCATTCGCTCTGCCGTGATCACATGGTTCTTGTACCTACTATGGGTGCCTGGGAGCCGCTCCAAATATGCAAAAAAAAAAAGGCAAAAACGTATCTCGAATCACTCGTAACGACAAGCAATAGTTACTCGACTTGGATAAGACTCAATTTTAGGGTTATCACTTTAGCTCAAATTAACGAGGGTGATGGGATTTTTTAAGTGCGTCGCCTTTATACAACTTTGTGCATCTTCGTTTTATGCTGTTTTGCTCGCGCGCGTGCCACTTTAAGCCGAGCTATATATTTGTTATTTATGAACACGACAGTTTCATCTGTTATGTTTAATGGAAACTTTGGAGATTATATTGTGTTTGTGTGCACTAAAAATAATTTCAGTGTGTTGTTAATTGAGAAAATATTTTTCATCAACATTTGCGCGAGTTTCGTTAGGCGTGCTCATGTTAAATCAACAATACTGTCTTAATTGTGTTTATTTCTTTATTTTTAGAAAACATTTGGCCCGAGGGTGTCTTAGGGGAATTTGTCGTGGGCATTCCTTGCAGCAATCCCATACAAGAATGCAGCCCAATGTCAATCCTCTGTCCTCTAGAACCACCACCAATGTCATTTCAGGCCAGCAGTGGGCAAACTCTGGACCTCCAGCTCTGGAAATCCCATCATGCATCTGCCCCTGGAAGTCATGCCTGTGCCTGTCAGAGTCTTGCAATGCCCAATGGCATTCGAAGTTCCACAGCAAATGGAGTGTCTACCCCTGTTTTAGAAGAATTGGGATCACATCAGTGGTCTTAATTCTTCCATGGCTGCAATCTGTATATTGATATACCCAACCATGATGCCCCATACTGGAGCTACACCAACGCACCCCCACCCCCCCTTTCTGAACCACCATCATATACTTTGCATGAGTGGTTGGAGGTTAGAACCCGTCAGACTATTTTTGCTTGAAACAAGCATCAGCAAGCCACTGAATTCCACCTAACAGCAAGTCAATCAGGTTCAAACAGGGCACAGTGGCTCCAGTGAGGCTGCTCCCAACATAAATGGGGTAACCCTTGAAGAGGGGACCCATCGAAAATCCCAGTGTACAAAGTCTAATAAGGACACCAAACAAAAATACTAAGAGTCTAAGTATTGGTATTACCCTGTTTCCCCGAAAATAAGACCTAGTTGCGACCATTCCCAGGGCCAGTGGTGGCATAAGGGGGAACTTGAAGAGCCGCGGGAGAGGCAGGAGAGAATCAGCGGTGCCAATGAAGCCAGCGCTAGAGGAAGTGAATCGGCAGCGGAGGGAGCAGAACCGCATAAGCCGATACCTCCTCTATAGGGCCGGCTCCTGTCACAGGCGGAGTGATACCAAATGTACTCCGCCTGTCAGGAATCGATAGTGGAAGTGCGCCTAAATCATTCTGGCCAGCGATTGGTTACCAAATTGCTCTTGGAAAGGTACGGCACCCCTGATCACCATATTTTGGTACATGAATAAGTGTGGATTGTTGTACCTAAAAAAAAAAAAAAATAAGACCTAGTGTGTTTTTTTGAGCCAAAAAAAATATAAGACAGTGTCTTATTTTCGGGGAAACACGGTAGCTAGTAGTAGTTAGCAATATTCAACTGGATTGTTGTAGCTTATCCAAGCCACTGCTACAGTTCAAGCTACAGGCTTCAGGAGAAGCTACGAAACGCCTTCAACATTACAAAACAAGTCCAGGTGAATGTGACCAACTATACCTAGCCATACCATGACCTGGCATACAAGTATTAAAGTGACACTAAACTCAGGAGATAAACCTTAAAACACATTAAAAGTACCTTAACTATGAACAACAATGTATCTTATTTGCGTATCACTCGGCTGTAGATCCTCAAATCATCTCTGAATTGGTGCTGACACTGTCCTTCCTTCTGGAGGGGGGCTACTTTTGTTCCCCATGGTCCCTGTGTGTGTTGTGAAGTAGTCACCGCTCCATGCTCACTCCCATGCTGGACTACAATCTCAATATGAATTAGTACACTAAACATGACATTGCAGTCCATCCCGGGGATGAGCTTGGAGTGGTGACTACTTTACAACACACACAGGGACCATGGGGAACACAAGTAGCCCCCCTCCAGAAGGAAGGACAGTGTCAGCACCAATTCAGAGATGATTGGAGGATCTACAGCCGAGTGATACACAAATAGGATACATTTCTGTTATTAGCGAAGGTACCTGAATGTATTTTTAAGGTTTCGCTCCTGAGATTAGTGTCACTTTAAATAGGCGACACCCATGATATACCGACACCATTTTCTAAACCTGATTGCATCTCTACATGGCTATTGAACTGGGTCCTGACACTCGCCTGAACTCCAAATGTCAGTTATGCCTGAGACTTAAGAAGTTTAGGTCACTTTAAATCACCCTCCCATTTGTTTTTTTTGGCATGCATAAGTCATGAAAGTGCAGCACGGACATCCGTAGACCCGTCAAAAAAAAAAAAGAAAATAGAATCTAGAACTCGTCCTAACATTAAAGATGACACCAGGCCCCAGGTGAAGAAACAGATATCTACATGAAATAGTAGCAATTCATATATGTGATTTTCACTGACGGATCTACTGATGCGTGTTTAAATAAAATATAATTAAAATGAGGATTATTAAAGATTCATGAACACAAAAGGTTTCTCTGGCTAGCGGCACATCGGCCTCCATTATAAGAAATCCACGCTGAAGAATTAGGACTTTTTTATGCTTATTGTGTATTGCAGGTGATTTTTTTGTTTGTTTGTTTTTCAGGTGAATTTGATAAATATCTTTTATCGATCTTTGATATTATGCCTTTCTTTTTTACAAGTGAAAATATTATACAGATTATTTGTATTTACCAACTGCCCCCAGCAGAGGCAAGTCTCACCAGAAGAGCAAAGACAAAGAAGGGTCACCGGCACTTCAAGATCATTGATCAACACTTGGTTTTTTTTTTTGACGCATGTTCATAACATCACAATCGTTTTGGGGCTGCGTGAAGTCCACTTCATCAGGCAGAACAGTGTGATGAATCAAGTGTGATCAATAAAGACGTATTGATTAACTATCTTGGAGTGTTGGCGTCCCTTCTTTTTCTTGTATTGAACAACGCCATAGCACCCACCTATCCACAGGGACTTATCGGTCAGGAGTGCGATGGGCTTTGGACATTCGTCAGAAAAGCAAGGCTCAACTTTAAGATGATCTCTGGTCTAAACCAAAATACACAAAACCCGCAGTAACCCCCTTTTTTTCTAATCTAAAGGTTTAAAAGAGAACTATGGGGTCAGTGTTTTTCCCCATAGTTCTCCTAAGGGTAACGGGAGGACATATACTAGCGTCCTCCTGTCACCCAAAGCTCAGTATATCGTGGGCTACAGCTCGTGGTATACTGAGACGCCGCAGCCGTGACCGATCCCGACAATGCTGTTGAGATCCCCCCAGCTGCGTGAGTGACAGCTGGCTCTGCCTATCTAGAGGCAGAGCCAGCTGTGCCCGCCCCCTCCACCGTCCATTCCTCCACTCAGCGCTGGAGGATCGGAGCCAGGAGGGGGGGAATCTCTGTGGGGAGCGGTGACTGACAGTCACGGCTCACTGCAGGGAGACAATCAGGAAGTGAGCGAGAGACGGTATGTGTTCGCTCACTTCCCGATCTATTGAGCCGACGTGTGACAGTTTCATTGTCACACGTCGGCTCAAACTATGAGGATGAGTGATTTTATCTCACTTCATACTTGTCCTTTAAATAAAAAAAAATAAAAAAGCTAAAATTACTTACCTGAGTCCGCGTCCCAGGTCCTTATATTCTGTTGGGCAGTGTGGGTCCTTCTTAAAGTGCCCATGTCGTTTCCTAGTTCACCGCCGGGGGGTTCTCACAAGGTCCTGGAGACTTTCAGTGGTGTCAAGACGCAACAGCTCCAAAAGGCGTCAACAAGACCAATCAGTGCATGTTCCCCATGGTCCCTGTGTGGGTTATAAAGTAGCCACCGCTCCAAGCTCACTCCTGTGATGGACTACAATCTCAATCCAAATTAGTAAACTGAACATGAATGTTGTAATCCATCACAGGAGTGAGTTTGGAGTGGTGACTACTTTACAACACACACAGGGACCATGGGGAACAAAAGCAGCCCCCCTCCAGAAGGACAGTGTCAGCACCAATTCAGAGATGATTGGAGGATCTACAGCCGAGTGATACACAAATAAGATACATTTATGTTAATTGGGTTTTTAATTTGTCCACCCCTGGGTCCAAGAGGAGAATTGGCCTCACTTTCAGAGATTATTCTCCACTTTCCTGTTGCATCTCCAGGACAGAAAGCAAAGGGGAGTCTCCCCAATGGGACATGCATGGTCAAAAAAATTCTGAAAAGGGGTTTTAACCCTTTGAAAATAAAAGGCTAACCGCAGTCACATATCAGGCTGTGCAGTCTTGCAGACTGAAGGAACACAACCGCCAGAGAAAACAGGTCTCACACAACATGTTATGATGAGTTTGGTGTTGAAGAAACTGGAGTGCCCTTCACAGAGCCCTGACCTCAAAGCTACTGATCATCTTTGGGATGAATTGCAATGCCGATCGTGAGCCAGGTCTTCTCATCCAACATCAGTACCTGACCTCACCAATGTTCCTATGGCTGAATGGGCTCAAATTACCAGAAGCACTCCCTAAAATCTTTTGCTTGATCCATCAACATGTTTCGATAAATTTGGTGTGAAGGAACTAGGCCAGACCAGCACTCACGGGATAAACTAAATCCTAGTGCCGCCATGTTCACCCTGATGAAGGGACCTTGCGTGATTCCAAAACGTTGGCTATGCAATGTATGCGACACGATACTTCAGTAAAAAGCACAAGGATTTAGTTCATCCTGTGAGTGCTGGTGATCCTCATTGCTGTTAACATTGCATATGCACAGCGTCCTCCTTGGACGTCATTACGAGCACCACTGCTATTTTAAGCACACTAGGCTACCTTTGGCTACCACAGAACTGGGTGGACTTCACGGAGCCTTGACCTCAACCCTGCTGATCATCTTTGAGATGAACTGGAGCGCATATTGTGAGCCCGGTCAACCTGCCCTCACAAATGTTCTTATGGCTGAATGGGCACAAATTCCCAGAGACACCCTCAAAAAAACTTGTGGACAGTCTTCCTAGTAGAGTGAAGGCTGTTATAGCCATCAAGTGTGTGACCAACTCCAAATTGGTGCCCATGGTGTAGGAATGGGATGTCCCGCAAGCCCGTATAGGTGTGATGATCAGATGTCCACCAGCTTTTGGCCATATGGCCCAGAGTTTAGTTTTAACCAAAACAAGAGAGGCTCAGGAACGGTTATCATTCGATGCTTCACACTTACCAGTGCTGGATTTTTTCTTGGCAGCCGCTGACCACCTGTCATGAAAAACAGAATAAAAGGTTTGTGAGAAAACACGACAAGACCATGTCGGTTCATCAGATACATGTTTAGGAGAAGCTCATGTCAGAGCTGAACATTGTTATTTGTCACCACAATAACACTCTTTGTTTTCAATCACAGGAGACATTATCAGTTTCCCCAAAGATAGCGGAACACGGCAGAAAGCGTTTATATATTATATTCCAGACTGACAGCCTCCGTACTGCATCTATAGAGGAGAACAACTTTAGTTCCTAGCTACCTTTGTTCCCCATGGTCCGTGTGTGTTAGTAGTCACCGCTCCAAGCTGGCTCCCGTGATGGACTACAATCTCGGATTTAGTTTACTAATTTATATTGAGACTGTAGTCCATCTCAGGAGTGAGCTTGGAGCGGTGGCTACTTTGCAACACACACAGGAACCATGGGGAACAAAAGTAGCCCCCCTCCAGAAGGAAGGACAGTGTCAGCACGAGTTCCGGGCTGACTGGAGGATCTACAGCCGAGTGATACACAAATAGGATACATTGTTGTTAATAGTTCAGGTACCTAAATGCATTTTAAAGGAGAACTATGGGGTCAGTGTTTTTCCCCATAGTTCTCCTTGGGGTAATGGGAGGACACAAACTAGCGTCCTCACGTCACCCTAAGCTCAGTATACCGCGAGCTACGGCTCGCGGTATACTGAGACGCCGCACCTGGAGCGGATCCCGTCATCTAAGTCGGGATCCGCTCCAGGTACAGCTGGCTCTGCCTATCTAGAGGCAGAGCCAGCTGTACCCGCCAACTACCCCGTCCGTTCCGCCAGTCAGCGCTGGCAGATCAGAGCGGGGAGGGGGGAATCCAGCCCCTCCCCTGTCACGGCAGAGAGCCGTGACAGGATCGAGAGGTGAGGGAACCCGGGATGTTTTCGCTCACCTCCCGATCTACTGAGCCGACCTGTGACAGTCTCATTGTCACAGGTCGGCTTAGAACTATGACGTGAGTGGAAATCACTCACCTCATAGTTCTCCTTTAAGATTTATCTCCTGAGTTTAGTGTCACTTTAAATCGGTGATGGAGCGGAGGGGGAGGGAGGCGAGTGCTGAGGATCGGATATTTCTTCTTTATTTGAGCCCCCTAGACAAAAGGTGCACTTAACCCTTGCAGTGCTGGGGCTAGCCCCACTGCAATTGTAAGCTTTTTAAAATTCCCAGAGTTCTTTCATTTGCTTTTTCAATATAACAATTCTTTGTTTCATGGTTACCTCTGAGGACACTTTAAACTATCTATGATCAAAAACTAAACAAAGTTATTTCTATAATGAAGTTCTTTCGCACTCCTAATAACTAGGGATGCCCCAATACCTGTTTTTTGGTATCGAGTACCGATATTTTTTTCCGGTACTCGCCTATACCGAATACCGGAAGTCCCATTAAGGAAGACGGGCGGTGTGTAATGACTCGCCGCCCAACTTCCTGATTAGCCAGCTTCCTGAAAAATAAGGAAGTCGTGGGGCAGGTAATAACTCGCCACCTGGCTTCCTGATTGACCGACACCTCATGACCTGCCGCCTGGCTTACTGATTGGTCAGGAAGCCAGGCAGCCTCAGCAAGTGAAGCCGGTGTTCTTTCGCTCGAAAGAACACTGGCTTCACAGGCAATCAGGAAGCTGGGCAGCAGTTCATGATCCTGATAATTGGGGCACACGGCACCGGTACTCGGTAGGGATGCACCGATACTGGATTTTTTTGGTATCGAGTAGCCTTTTTTTTTTTTCGGTACTCACCGATACCGAGAGTCCAATTAAGGAAGCCAGGTGGCGTGTAACGACTCGCCGCCCGGCTTCCCGATTGGCAGGGAAGCCGTCTCCATGCTTCTTGTCACTAGGTGACGAGAAAGCATGGAGCCGGTTTTCTGGCCAATCAGGAAGCCAGGCGCAGTGTAATGACGCGGCGCCCGGCTTCCTGATTGTCCGGAAAGCCGGCTCCATGCTCCCGAGTCACTTGATATGACTCGCTGTCCGGCTTCCTGATACCGGAAGCTCAAGTATCCGGCTAGGCATCGGAGCATTTGGGCGAGTACGAGTATTGCCCAAATACTAGTATCGATATATATATATTTATTTTAACAAAGAAAAAAAGATATCGGTACTCGATCCAGAAAAACTTATATTGGTGCATCCCTAATTATCAAACACAACTCTAGAATGTATTCCGATTAGAATGCTGATGTGATAACAGGAGAGGAACAGCGCCCCTTTAAGATGATCACATGTACGTGGGAGATTGAATGACAATCTCTGAAATCCATCCGAAGATATTAAAAAAGTATCAAACGGAGGTTTTCTTTTTTTCCTTTTCTCGGAGTTCGCCTTTAAACGCAGTTCATGAAAAAAAAAAAAACGGGAAGTTTGAAGTCGGGAGATCTTTAACGAGAAAAGTGCCGCCATGCTCGCTGGCAGCGGCAGAACGCGGGTAATGTATTTTTTATGATCCAGTAAATAAGGGCGGCTGAAGTAAAACATCATAAAAGGTTAACTCTGTTATTAAAAAACAAAAATAAAAGGGAATTCCATAAATATTAACAACAGCCGACCTATTAAGAGTGACGTACGGCCTAATTATCTCTTTACAGAGGACATTTCAGATAAACACTTCCAAACAAATGAACATAATATTTGCTGCAAAGTGAAATGGGATCGCTGCTGCCGGGGGGGGGGTTTTTAACTCGAGGTGATCCAAGAGGCAACGGGAGGACCGGTTCAGGAAACGGAGCTAAAACTAGGGGGCAAGTTTTGCATCGCTGCCTCCTAATAGCATCATCATCATCAACACAGGAGCCTCAGTACGCCAGTGCTCACGCACTAACAAGGAGCATGTTGCCAGGAGGATAGAGCGGAGTAAGTAGGGAGTCTGATGCTTCTCCTTCATTGTCCAGTCCGCAGGTAATATTAGGCGGGTGGTCATAATGTTATGGCTGATCGGTGTATGTATTTAGCCGTGTGCCCGGAGTTCGGCTTTAAAGACGGCAAACTTTATGGTCTGTAAAAAAAAAATCAACATACAAGTCGGTAGTTTGGGGGTGAGGAACGCTCCATATGTGACAATAGGATGCGGCCCCACGTGCCCGCCATAAATCTGCATTGATCTTTAAAGCTGCCATTTGACTCCGGCGGAAAACGATGCTCCGGTGCCCATTTCATGTCAGAAGCGGGAGATTTACGGCCGCCTGGCACAACATCTGCCGCCACATTTGTGCTTGCATCCGAGAAGGTACACAACGCTTCCCGCCGCTAAACAAACAAGTCTCCCGCTTCCTCCGGCCCGAGCGCAGGTTTGAATAATGCCCGGGAGGGGCCGAGGCCGCAAAAGCCAGCTCTATCAGCCTGATTGCTAGTCCTACGCCTGGCCCCACTCCAGGATATGTTAACACAACCTTGAAACGGAACAGGTGGAGCGCTGACCTGCGCAGGACGCCGAATTCATCCATCATGCGATGGCTACTACATAGGGGGGGTGTTTGTTTTAAATTGGGAGGCATACAGTAGGAGAGGTTGAGGTGAAAGGGAAGAAGATCAAAGTCAGCTTCCTTTTTATTACATATTACTGGGGTGTTTACAGGAAGCTATATACAGCACCCTGCCAGCCCCTCCCCCAGCCATGATCTGCCGCCTGCCATGGAGATGCACAGGGATGTCATCAGTAGGTCTCTGTGCAGCCATGATCTGCCTGCATTGTACAGAGAAGCACAGGGACTTAGAGATGTCATTCCTGGGTAAGATCTGCCTGCATTGCACAGAGAAGCACCAGGACCTAATGATGTAATCACTGGGTCCCTGTGCCACCATAAGCTGCCTGTATTGCACAGAGAAGCACAGGGACCAAGTGATGTCATCATTGGGTCCCAGTGCCACCATAACCTGCCTGCATTGTACAGAGAAGCACAGGGACTTAGTGATGTCATTCCTGGGTCCCTGCGCAACCATGATCTGCCTGCATTGCATAGAAAGGCAAAGTGATGTCATCCCAATGATACTGGGACCCAGAGTTGGATACCGATGACCCGCAACCCCCAACCGCACGGCTTCTCCCAACGGCCCCTCCATCACAGCTAACAAAGAAGTAGGGGCCCAACAGATGCAACCTCAGTGCTCAAAGGGGGACCCAGAATCTGACACTCCCGGAATTGTTGGCTAAAAAGTATCCTCTTGGAATCACACATGCGGCAAAAAACAGGTAATTGATCCGCATTTCTACCACTCCCCCCACCTACAAAGGAACATGGCGGCCGCTCAGGTCCGTATATATTGCTGGGGTCGTGATTCTTCGCTTCATGACGTTTGCCAGGCTGTGCCTCTTGTCAAAACTGCCCACTGAAGTCAATGGGACCCTAATGCACGTGGTTGCGGCACGGTATTACAATGTAACAACTATGGATGCACCGATACCATTTTTTCGGTACGAGTACTGATATTTTTTTCCCGGTACTTGCCGATACCGAGTGGCGATACTGGTTCTTCCACTAGCACAGAGTCGGCTTCCCGGGCAATCAAGAAGCCGGGTGGCGGGTCATTACCAGCTGCCTGGCTTCTTGATTGCCCAGGAAGCCGGCTCCATGCTGTTTTGCCGACTCCATTCTGATTGTCAGGGAAGCCTGTTTCTTGGCCAATCAGCATTGAGCCGGCAAAACAGCATGGAGCCGGCTTCCTGAATGGCCGGGAAGCTGGCTCCATTCTGATTGGTTGGGAAGCCAGCTCCATGTTTCTCTGCGGCACTGCCAGTCAGAGGAAATCTCCCTCTGAGCGGAAGCTCAGGTATCGGGGAAAGTATCGGAGCATTTGGGCGAGTACAAGTATTCGCCCAAATTCTCGGTATCGGTGCATCCCTAATAACAACCCCCCTGATATAAAAAAATAAAAAGGCACCCACAAGATGGCGATATCATCTCCTAACCGCCTGCAAGACGCCGCTGTTCAAATGCCTAAAGACCGCCGCCTGTGCAAATGCGGCCTCAAAG